GGCCTGACAGCCGCGACCCTGCCGCGATGCTCTTCCCAAAAAAGCGGCCGCTTGCTGACTGGTCTTTGCGGGGGCCCAGCTCTCACTGCCAGCGCTGGTGACCCGGGCTCCCGTGGACGTCCTCCCCTCGCTCCACACACCCCTAAACCACACACGCATACTTTCCTCTTTTAGGTCAGTTATTCTGTGAAGTGGTGGAGCCAGGAGCAGCGGTGGAGCCAGGAACTGAGATCTCGCTGCCGTTTAGATGGGGAAAACACAGCTAGCCTCAGCCTGCGCTTTTCTCCAGGCTGCGCAAACAACTTCCCCTGAATAAAAAGTAAAAAAAAAAAAAAAAAAAAAAAATAAAAAAGAAAATTAAATTTAAAAAGAAAAAAAAAGAGACCAGTGCAAAGCTTGATGAGAAACTGGCACTACTCTAACGGGAGCTGGGGAAAGTCTCTGTAAATCGGGCCAGGGCTATCGGTCCTGAAGTCTAGAAAACGCAAAAGCGGCTAAGCGCGTCTGGAGAGCTCCTGGCATGCGTCCTGCATCCTACCATAGTCCTTCGCTTCCCGCTGAGCCTGCTGCAAAGGGTACGGACAAATCGCGCTGGACTCTCGGAGCATCCCACATAGGGTTTCGCAGAGGCTCAAATGCGCGGCACGGGCAACTACCGAAACACCCTCTTTTTCCCGTGGCCGTGGGCAGAGCCATCGGGACCCCCTTCTTCACACAAGGAAGGCTTTTCTCCACCAGGGCTGCAACGCAGCAACCCCGCCTGAAGGGAATTTCCAGCAGCGGCTGACTCTGCCTGGGGCTTGCTGATTTGTACACATTCTCTAAGATTACAAGACGGGACGCCCGTCTGTGCTCTCACCTCTTGGGAACAGCCTTAGAAAGAAGAACCTGAGCCCCAGCCGCAGCCGGACAACAGGAGGCGCTGCGACTTTGCACAACCCCGGGCCTGCCCTGCCGTCCCCTCCCCTCCGCCCGCCACGGCCCGGCCCGGCCCGCCCGGTCACCCGGCACCCCCGCG